TGCAGGGACCAAACCAGTGAGTACTGTGAACTCCAGTGTGCTCCTAGCATACGTGGATATAGTCAGTGTAGAGCAAACTGCTGCTAGATTTTTAATGTTCAGAGATTATGCAATTTGCACAAAAGTTAGTTTAATAAAGTCAGAAAATGTGTTTGTGCCTTCAGTGATCAGTTACTTCAAATTTTATGTCAACATAAACATGTAGGGTAAAAAACACATCTAATGCAGAAAAGTCTTGAAAAATTTTTAACCAATTGTAATCTTGAAAAGTGTGTACTGAGATAAATCTTATAAATGGGCAAACTAGAAAAGCCTCCTATGAAAAGCCCCTATCCCATCAATGATCATGATAGATGATGAGTGAGCTTATACATATTAGCAGCATAATGATCATGGGAAAGCCTTTGCCAACAAATAAAACCTTAATAGTTGATGCATATTTCATGTTGGAGAAAAAATTTTAGATTGCAATGAATATGGTAGGATTTTAGCAATATATTCTGCTTTATCATGCATCATTATTTCAATCACAAAAAGAATGAATATACAGCCGGGCTCGGTGGGTCAGCCTGTAATCCCGCGCTTTGGGAGGGTGAGGTGAGTGGATTGCCTGAGCCCGTGGGTTCGAGACCTCATCTCTACAATAAATAAAAAAATCAGCCAGGCATGGTAGCGTGTACCTGTAATTCTGGCTACTCAGAGGTGAAGGATCGCCGGAGCCCAGTGGATTGAGGCTGCAGTGGCTGGGAGCGGCCACTGCACTCCAGTCTGGGTGACAGAGTGAGACTCCAACTCAAAAAAAAAAAAAAAAAAAAAAAAAAATGAACACACTAAATGTAGAGTAAGGTTGGTAAAGTATCAGAGAATTCATTAAGTAATAAAGTCTTACGAAAATTATGTATATTTGAGAGCTATCATAAACCTAAACTCATCATACATCTGATGTCCATTTTGGGACAGGATACCTTTCACCATATTCTCAATGATCCCATAGTTTTAAACTGGGATTTTCTCATTACTGATTACATTTTAATATTGTACAATGCAGGTATTTTCCATGCCTGCCTTGTATCATTATATGATTTGTTCTTCCACATTACTATATCTACGTTTTTTTGTCTAGGCTATTAATAAGGGTAATTCAATATTCTTGGATGTGTTTACCTGTTACTAAGTAACAAGATATAGTTTACATAAATACTTTATTTTTTAAAAATTTTTTCAAAATACTTTTAGGTTCACAAAAAATTTCTTACATAATCATAAAACAATGAAATTACATTAATACAATGCTGCTAATCAAAAGTATTTGTACTTCACTAGTTTTTGCGTGTACTAGTGTGTTTATTTTTGTCTAGAGTTCTAAAAAGTTTTGTAACGTATAGATTCATTAGTCTCACCACTCTCAGGATGCAGAACTGTCGTACATCAGAAACATCCCCTTGTTACCCCTTATAGACATCCCCTCTCCCCACAACATGACATAAAGTAACTACTATCCCATCACTCTACTTTTATAATTTCAAGATGCTATTAAAATGGAACCATGAGGTATGTAATCTTGGAGATAGACTTTTATTCACTCAGTAAGTTGCCCTTAAGATCTATTTGTTGAGGGTCTAAATAGTCTATTTTTTTTCTTGAGTTATTCTTTTGTATGGATGCCCCATGGTTTATATACCCATTTACTGTTGATGGACATTTAAATTGTCTCCAATGTTTTTCTGTTATACATAAAGATGCTATAAATGTGTGTGTACCTGATTTTGTGTTAACATAGCTTTCCTTTTCTCTGGAATAGACAACCAGGAAGATGCTGGATCACATGGTATGTTTATGTTTAAATTATAAGACATTGTCAAACTTTTCCAGAGTGAGTATACTGAGTTACATTCCCACCATCAATGTATAAGCACTGTATTTGCTCCATGCCCTTTCTAGCATTTGGCACTGTCAGTATATTTAGCTTTTTTATCAAGTGTGTGGTGGTATATAAGCATAGCCTTAACAGATATTATGTTCAACATCTCAGCATCCACTGAGAACCACGTTAAGCAAAGCTGTAATTCTTGCTTCTTACCAGCAAGCAGTGTTAAAAATCCAGTAGCCTTTTATATCTGATAATGTTACTTTCTTTTTTTTTTGAGTTGGAGTCTCACTCTGTCACCCAGACTGGAGTGCAGTGGCATGTTCCCAGTCACCGCAGCCTTGACTTGCTGGGCTCTGGCGATCCTTCCGCTTCAGCTTTCCAAGTAGCTGGAACTACAGTCACGCGCTACCATGCCTGGCTAATTTTTTGACTTATTGTAGAGATAAGGTCTTGCCAAGTTGCCCAGGCGGGCCTTGAACCTGCAGGCTCAGGCAATCCACTCACCTCAGCCTCCCAAAGTGCAGGATTATAGGCTGAGCCATCGAGTCCGGCTATGTTTACCCTTTCTATTCTTTCTTCATTTCTGGTGTTATGTTTCCTTCTTATAATTCCTTATATCAGAACTTCCTTTGTCAATTTTCTTTGAGCAGGCCTACTGGCAACAGATTATTTTCCTAAGAAAAGGATTCGTGTTCTCTCTTCTCTATTTAGAGTTATTTCCCTTGATCTAATAAAATTATTTATTCCAGTTTATAAATAGTGAATTCTCTTTATAATATAAGTGGATATCTGCTGTTTATTGTTCTGGCAGAATTCAATCCCCTACTCCAAATTCACTCCTTTAAAAATATATTTTTTTGAGCTTCTACACAAGGCATGTTGTAGACACTGGGGACACATCAAAAGACAAACAGGTGAAGTGATGGCCTTGATAGACAATAGCATCTGGGGAAGAAAACAGTAAAATAAATATAAGATAGACTTGATTTTGGGTAAGTGCTAAGAAGAAATAGTCCAATAAATTCATAAATTACAATCAAACAGCTGTTGAAAGCACGAGTTTTCAGAGAAGACTTCTAGGCAAATGTAATGTGAGCCAAGACTGAAGTGTACTGACAGAAGACAACCGTCATAATATTTGTAAGTCTAGAATACTAGAGGTCTGGATCTAATTATTTTCCCTGGGATTCCTGTCTCAAGATTCTCTGAGACACTTAGGTAAAAAGGCAAATTCTTGGGTCACTCCCCAGATCTAAACTAGGCCCTCTGTGGCTTGGGTCCAGGACTCTGCATTTATGAAAAGAGGTTTCTGATCAATACTGGAGTTTGAAGACCTCTTCCCTAGATACTGGCTTAGTGCTCCCATCACTACTTCCACACTGTAACATAATGGATTTTATGTAGATACTCCCCAGCAATGAATCAGACAAAAGTGATCCCCCAAGCCGGCCCTCAAGTCCCCTCCCTTCTTGTCCTTTTGTGAGTCTATATCCTGCCATGGCAAGGTCACATCAGTTCACTCCTAGAACTGATCATTGAGGGTCCCAGGATGTGCTGACCTGTGGACCAGGTGCTGAACTTACCTCCCACAATTTAACATTCCAGATAAATTGGGCTGAAATTTAATCCTGAAGGGCATGTAATACTCTTAAGAAACATACAAACAATATATTTTTAATATATCAAAATTACAAAACATAAAATGAAAAAAATTTAAATACTCATACATACCAGTCAAGTATTGTTAGCAATGTATTCCCCAAACTTTTCATATGCATGAGTGGGTTTATTTTATGAAAAAGTGAGTTTATACTTACCATGAACTTCTATATCCTTATTCTAAAATTATATCAAAAATCAACATGTTTTATAGTCATTCGTGATTATGACACATTGAGAAGTGAAAAATTGGTGACATTTTTCCAAGTAAAAAATTTATATTGTCTACCTGTGAACAGAACTAAACATTAAGTGAAACTAAATGTGTGTAATCGATCATAATTTTCAGCAAGATATTTGAGTTATTTACAAAATACATACTGTTCTCCAGATTTTCTGCCCTCTGAAGAGCAGTTATGTTTCCTCACTTTTTAATTGCTATGTACTGCTATACTTGAGCAGATGTTTCATAAATTACCAAAGTTTTCATCTGTCATTGAATGTATTCCTTTTATTTGGTAAACTACAAACGGCTGCTGTGAGCTTTTAGAATTAGAATTGCTGGGTCAAACAAAATGAAAAATTTGTATTGGCTCTAGGTTACCCTCCAAAAAGATATCTACTTACATTCTCTACGATTACATTTCCCACACCTGCAAAAATTTGAACAAATATGTGTGACTGTTGGGGGGGGTGAGAACTATATAAAGTATAATAATTGCATTCTCAGTATTTCACATTATGAATTGCCCCACTGTCGTCTTCATTTGATTTTGGAAAGAAGCATGTACGTACATTTGCACCTTCACCTCTTCATCTCCTTATCGCCTTCCTCACTGGGTATCAAGTCCCACGTGGGTAACAGCACTTAATGTTGACCATCGCTCCCACTCCCGGCTTCCCCCCGTATTGGGAGTCTAACCTACAAAAGCCTTACCCACTCCACAACCCCCGTCCTTTGCTTATGTCAACTCTATGACCGCTTCCTTCCCATCGGCACCTGAGCTACTCCATACGTTGCCTATCTTACAAAGCTGTCCCAGGTCTGGGCATCTTCCCTGCTTTAGGGACACCAAGATGGCCGCACCCATTCAGGTTAAATCTCCCCCTCTGCCAAAAAGGGCTCCGTCATCTTCCTTTTTCCCCTGCTGGCTGAACAGGAGGCCGCTGCGCCGTTTGTGCCTGAATGGGCAACGGCCTCTGAAACGGGACGCAGTTCGCACAGCGCTTTTGAGAGTCGCGACAAAGGACGAGGAACACTGAGGAGCGATTTCAGTTGTTTCTCACAGCCTTTAGGCCCGCTTAAGTCAGAAACGACTGCATGGGCGTGGTTTTGTGACGTCATAAAATTGGGACCGTCATACATCCGGGAACTTCTTCCGGGGTGCGTGTCCCACGTCGGCTTCCGTCGTCACCCCTCCCGTTCTCTTCCTCCCACCTCCCCCGCCCCTCCGGTCCCACTGGGCGGCCGCGAAACGCGTCTGACTAGGAAGTGGCTTCGGCTGCTGGTCCGGGATTTTGTCGCTGTGGGCGGTGTCTGGAGAGGTTCACCATCGGGTGAGTTGGGTTCAGGGCAGCGGTTCGCGCCCTGTGGGACTCCTTAAACCTGACTGTGTGAGCAGGATCTTAGCGGCGTTTTATTGGACCCCAGTCACCGAGGGAGTGGCATTAGGCGTTAAGGATGGGACCTGTGTACGACTCAGAGTCTAGAGAAGTCGGCCGGGCGCGGTGGCGCGCGCCTGTCATCCCAGCACTTTGGGAGGCCGAGGCGGAAGGATTGCTTGAGCCCAGAGGTTCGAGACCATCCCGGGCAACATAGCGGGACCTAGCCTCTACAAAAAAAGTAAAAACGAAAACCAATAACCCATTAACCGGGCGTGGTGGCTCGCGCCTGGAGTCCCAGCTACTCGGGAGGATGAGGAGGGAGGATCGCTTGAGCCCAGGAGGCTGAGGCTGGGGTGAGCCGTGATTGTGGCACTCCCTGGACTCCAGCCTGGACGACAGAGACCCTAACTCCGAAAAAAGAAAGCGAGACAGAGTCTGACTATCCGATTTCAGGTCCCTGCGAATCACTCGGCTTCTGGGGTCTGGGTGGTTGAGAACTGAGGTGTCAAGTTTGCATCCGTCAACGTGGGGGTCGTTCAGGCTCTACTTAATGGGGTGCTCCGCGTTGAGGACGGGTGGGAGAGGTCCACGTGGAGTTCGTGGACACTGTTGGGGTTTAGGAATGACATGCCATGGGGGGCTCAGCCATAGAGACGCCTCCTGTGGGGCTGCCAGTGTGTGAGGTCGTCCAGGGTTCCTGGAGATTCGCTGGGTTCAGGTTCAAACCTCGAATGTGGGTGTAGACTTGGATTGTGCATTTCCCCTGTTATTTCGAATTGAGTTAACTCCATAAAGTTCAAATTCGTCCTCCCAGTCCTTACCAAAGTCTCTTTTGTCTTCCCCTAACACCGCTCTTTTCGCTGTACAAAATTCACACACACACACACACACACACACACACACACACACACACACGGAGCGCTATGATATAAAATATTCATGACTTTTTAATAAGGTATTTAATTTTTGCTGTGTCAGCAGTAATAACGTCACATTAAGACATTTCTGTCCTCATTTTTTTCTTTTTCTTTTTTTCTTTTTATTGAGTTGGAGTCTCACTCTGTTGCCCAGACTGGAGTGCAGTGGCCGCTCCCGGCCACTGCAGCCTTGACCTGCTGGGCTCCGGCGATCCTTCCGCCTCAGCCTTCCAAGTAGCTGGAACTACAGGCACGCGCTACCATGCCCGGCTGATTTTTTGATCTATTTTAGAGATGAGCTCTCGCCAAGTTGCCCAGGCGGGTCTCGAACCCGCGGGCTCAGGCAATCCACTCACCTCAGCCTCCCAAAGGCACGGGATTACAGGCTGAGCCACCGAGCCCGGCTCTCATTTTTTTCTTAAGCAGTTTAGTTCATGAGGATCAATTTTATTGATCTTTTCAAATAATCCCCTTTCGAGGCACTGGTATTTTTTAAAAATTGTTTTTCTGCTGTTTATTTCATTGATTTCCACTTTCATCTTTATTACATCTTTTCTTTGTTGCTCTTCTTTATTTTTTAAAATTGTTTTTCGTAGCTGGGCTCGGTGGGTCAGTCTGTAATCCCACGCTTTGGGAGGCTGAGGTGAGTAGATTGCCTGAGCTCGCGGGTTCGAGACCCACCTGGGCAACTTGGCGAGCCCTTATCTCTACAATAAATTTTTAAAAATCAGCCGGGCGTGGTAGCGCATGCCTGTAATTCTGGCTACTCAGAATGCTGAAGCGGAAGGATCGCCGGAGCCCAGCAGGTCGAGGCTGTGGTGGCCAGGAGTGGCCACTGCACTCCAGTCTGGGCAACAGAGTGAGACTCCAACACAAAAAAAAACCCCAAAATTGTTTTTTCTGTTATGTATTGCAGTGATTTCCACTTTTATCTTTATTGCTCTTCAGTCAACTGTTTTGTATTTTATTTATTTATTTGCTTATTTATTTATTTAGAGTAGGAGTCTCACTCTGTCACCCAGGCTGGAGTGCAGTGGCATGCAAACGGCCACCACAGCCTCTACTTCCGTCTCAGCCTTCCAAGTAGCTGGAACTATAGGCCTGTGCCAACATACCTGGCTAAATTTTGTGATTTATTGTAGAGACGAGGTCTCACCAAGTTGCCCAGGCTGGTCTTGAACCCCCGGGCTCAGGCAGTCCTCTTGCCTCAGCCTCCCAAAGTGCTGGGATCACAAGCTGAGCCACTCCACCCCGCTGCTTTGTGTTTAAGTTACTCCTCTTTTTCTAGTTTTTCAAGTTGGACAATGAGAGTATTGATTTGTGTTGAGATTTTTTTTTTCTAATATAGATTATTTTCTCTTTCGTGATTTAAAGGTGTAAGTTTTCTTAAGTATTACTTAAGTGACATTCAGTGATTGCTATGTTGTTTTTGTTTCCAGTCAGTTAAAAATATTGTCTAGTTTCCCATGTGATTTTCTTTTTAACCATGCTTACTCAGAACTGTGTTGTTTAATATCCAAATGTTTGGGTATTTCTTAAATTTCATTCTGAAGTTGATTTCTAATTTAATTCTGTTCTGCCTAGAAAATATATTTTTAATTTATTGACACTTCTTTTACATTCTAGCACAAGGTTTTTTCTGGAGAGTGTTTCAGGTACCACTAAAAATAATGCATATTTTGCTGCTGGTAAGTGTAGGATTAAATAAATGTCAGTTTAATCAAGTTGATTATGTTCAAGTTTTTTTTGCATCCTTGCTGATATTTTGTTTTCTTTATTATTGTGGGTGGGGTTATGAAGTCTTCAGCTATTATCTTTGAATTGCCTGATCCTTGCCAATTCCATCTGTTTTTGCTTTATATGTTTTAGAGCTTTGCTATTAGGTCTACATAGATTTAAAGCTTTCATATCTTTGTATATATACCTTATTCTTACTAACCACTGAAACCATTATTGCCGCTCACCTAAGCCTTAGTATCCAGAGTTTTTATGTGGGGTTAGTTAACATGGACAAGATTGACTGCCTATGTGGCCGACCTCAGGCTCTAGTGGTTAAGCTGATATCACATGGTCCAAGGCCTCCCACCATAAATCGCATTGTTAGCACAGACTATCTGGCATGGCTCAAATTGCCCAGGTGAGCAAAGACACACTTATCAGTCAGGATATTCCAAAGGCTTAGAAGTTTCTCATAGGAATTGAGGACAAAAGCCAAACTTCTCTTGGATAAAGTTAATCCTTTAGTGCATGACGTGATATAAGACAATTTTTATGATTTCCTTGGTATATTGGTCTTGAAACTGAGGTGTGTATACCCATTGAGCATACAAAGACCTTTAAAGTAATACTTGGGCACACAGGCTTTTTAAAGACATAATGTGTGAATCCTTAGAACTTTCCATATGTTCTTTTTCCTAAAATTGATCTGCCTGAGAATTTTCCTGCATTGTGCTGTACTGGTTCTGCTTTCATACCTCCTCTATAATAGTCATGTTACTTCCACTTCACAAAAGAAAGGCATATCTTTCACACCTTTAGAATCTTGTTTTAGTGCCTTGAGGTGTGAAAGTCTGTGAGGCACCAAGTAAAGAAACAGTTTGAAATATTAGGGTGCTTTATTTAATTGCATAGTAGCAGTGACAACATATGGACCCAGAGAAAGTATATACCTAAAGCTATTTTGCTTTTCAGGTCCTGGCTTCCAGAAGCAAGATAAATCAAATGACGGAATGAAAGAAAAGGAGAAAGTTGCTGGCCTTGGATATCATCATTTCTGGGGATGACTTCAACTGGCCAGTAATATTTCTGACTACAAAAACTTTATGGCAGATGTATAAAAGACAAAAGACATATAGTCTATGTTGCTCACTTTTTCCTGAGCACAGAAGATGTTTGAATTCCAGGTGAGTTTGTTTTGCTATATTTTCCCTTTGTCTTTTGATGGGTTTGTGGTGGGCTGAAAAAGTCAATTCACCTAAAAGAAGTGTAAGTTGAGATAATTGTGTCCTGGGGAGAAATTAACTTAGACTCTACTTTTAGGAACTGAGGTGGGGATTCATTCTCACATTATTAGATTTGATGTGAAAACAATGCAAGCATCATTGACAAAGTTCAAGACAAAGTTCAAAACCATTACACTTACATATGAATCACCTCTTCAGTATGTACTAAGGTTGTCATTTTAATGTACATCCTCCAGACTGTTTTCATCGTATTGGCATTCTTTGCGTGTGTGTGCCTCCTGGCCAACCTTCCTCTTTTTTACCTAATGTAATGACTCTAACTGATGTCTGTTTGATAATTTAACAGTTCAGCTCTTGGTATAATATGACTAAACATGTGACTATGAAAATGGTTATGGGGTCTTGTTAATGACTTTTTGTGAAATTATTTTAGTTTTTGGGGGGAGGATGGTTACAGAGAAATCAATGATGGGGTGTAGTCTTGTTTCATATTAATGAATACTTCCAGCTGCTGTCCAAATGGAAGCTCCACTATATGGTGAATGGAAGCTCCACTGTATGGTGAATGCTCCCAGCACTTGGGTAAAAATGTTGACTCTGGAGCCAGTTGCCAGCTGTGTGGCCTTGTGCACTTCATTTAGCCATTATGTACCTGAATTGTCTCATCTCTAAAATGGGGTAATTGTATGTCACCTACCTAATAAGGGAGGGTATAAAATGAGTTAATCTATACGAAGTATTTAGAAGAGTGCCTATGTATAGAAACAGGTTTTTTTCTCTACTCTTAGAAAATGCTTCTAACATCAAATATGTGTGGTTTTTCCCATCCATCAATTCAGTTCTCCATACTGACTGTGTATTCCCAATATACTCAGTTCTAACACTAATTGTCTGGAGTTAGGGTAGGCCCTACAGGTTAGGGGCTCAGTCCCACAAGACTACTCCCAGAAAAGTGCTGGGTCTCCAGGTTATCCACAACCTCTGTCCAATGTGGCTATCAATCAGAAAATTCCATATATGTTTTTTATTATGTCATAGCCTGGTATATAAAAAGTGACATACAAATGTGACATAATAAGAAATATATTTGGTCATTTTCCCCAGTTCGTGGCACAGAGTACCTAAAACCCTTGAAATTTCCTAACCAGTAAGAGTGTCTTTTTTTATTTGTAAGGAGGCCCTATAATATACATGATTTTCTGCTCTTGAAGTGATTAAAGGTGGGGACCCTATCCTGAAAGATGAAATGATTAGAGTGTTGGGACTGGATGGAAAGATGGACTGGAAATTAACCTTTACAAAAACTTGAATAAGAGAATTGACGAGCTTTGCATTGGGGAACATATCAAGGTGCTAGAAAGGTGGCAAACCCAGAGGGGCAGGAAAGCTAGGAGCTTCCTCCCCCATACTTTGCCCTGTGCATCTCTTTTATCTGATATTTCTGAGTTATACCCTTTATTATAAACCAGTAACCTAATGTAAAGTATTTTCCTGAGTTCTATAATCCATTCTAGCAAATTATTGAGTGTGAGCGGGAGTTTGTGAGAGCCCCTAATTTATAGCTCAGGACTTGTGACTGACATCTTAAGAGAGAACAGTCTTGTGGGATTGAACTTTTAAATCTATGGAATCTGACCAGGTAGTTAGTGTCAGAATTGAACTGCATTGTTGGATATCCAGTTGGTGTTCAGAGAATTGGTTGTTGATGTTAGAAAACACACAGAAGGAACATCAGTGCTGCAAATATTGTCAACACTTGTTATGTTACCAAGTTGCATATTTTTCACAGCCCCTATGATCCAATGTTCTTTTGCCTTGTTTTTATTTTGCATTTTCCCATTCACCAGTGAGGGTCAGGGTCAGATACTTCTCGTCCCTTTGTTGCCTCTTTGGATTCTTTCTTCTGTGACAGGCTGTCCTCATCCTCTGCTCAGTTGAGAGGACAGTGCAATCAGCAGTTTTGTGTTTGGAACATGTCCAGACCTCGCCCTATGCATATTTTGCTTTAGCTGATTCTAGCTTTTATCCTTCTGCACTAGTAGAGTTTTAACTCTAAATATAGTACTTCCCTGAATTTTCTGAGTTGCTTTTTCAAATTATTAAACCCAAGGGAGTCTTAATAGCTTTAAGTTTATAACTAGATGGTTGGAGCTGAGGGTGTCCTGGGGAACTTCAAGTTTGCAGCTGGTGTCTGAAGTAAAGGTAGTCTTGTGGAGAGCTGTGTCTTTAACCTAGAAAGTTCAATATAACTTACAGTAATTGGTCTCAGAATTCATAAAAGCTAGAGACTGAGATTATTAGGGGTCATCCTGGAGTCAGCCTGCTGTAGAATTTCCATCCAGTCATAAATTCTTTTGGACTATGATGTGAGGTACGAATTTAACCAATGGGTAGACATGTCATCTAAAATATTTTAGAATGAGATAAACTGATCACACTTGAACACTTAAAACCTCTCATGAGACTACTTTCTTCACTATACAGCATCCCGCACAATAATGTAGGCGATAATAATGTCTCTAGGTGATTTTATAGTTTTACCTTTGCATTTAATGTAGTATAGTTTTAGTCTGTGGTGTCTCGGTGTAGACTTTTGGAATTTATTGGGATTCTTGAATTTGGGATTTGAGGTATTTGTATTATCGGTCATGAAATATTTCCAATTTTAGATTTTTGGATGTTGCTTCTCTGTTACTCTCTGTTCTCGTTCAGAAGCTATAAGTAGGCAAAGGTTAGGTCTTTTTACTCTATGTTTTATATTTATTTACTTTTTATTTTTTTATCTTAATCTCTATGTAATGCTTTTTCTGCAATTTTCACGGTTATATATTACACTTATATACTCTATTATATTTAATATACTGACACTCTGTCCATTAATATATGTATGTATATATGCCTTTCTATTTGAAGGGTTTTTAAAACCCAAATCTTTCTAATGAACTTGAAAGGCCTTTTGTGCTTTTGACATATTTTGTGTAGTTTCTTTTTTTCTTTTACAATTATTTTAAAGCACTATTTTATGAATTGAAGATGTAGAGTCTGTTCATGATTGATCCTCATATTGACTGTGAAGTCAGTGGTAATGTAGAAATGTTTCTATTTGTCCTGATGTCATTTGTGTATGTTTAGCATTTAGAAATGAGGACAAAAATATATAGATAGAAAGATAGGATTTTGCGCCTACCAAAGTGTATTTGAGAAAGGAATATAGATGCTGGCTATATGGTACAATTTACAAAAATTTCTTGCATAGTTCTTCTGTATTAATAATAGGAATTTATATCATATTAAATAGGACTCTGTAATTGTAGGAATCACTGACCTTAGAAGATGTGGCTGTGGAATTTACCTGGGAAGAATGGCAGCTGCTGGACTGTTTTCAGAAAGACCTTTATCGAGATGTGATGTTGGAAAACTATAACCATCTAGTATCACTGGGTAAGGATAATTCTTCTGTGTCATGTAGAGGGTGCCCAGATACTGTCCTTTCTTTTTTTTTTTCTCTCTCACTCTGTTACTCAAACTGGAGTGCAGTGGCATGCTTACAGACACCACAGCCTCCACCTGCTGGGCTCAGGCGATCCTTCCGCCTCAGCCTTCTAAGTAGCTGGAATCACAGACACATGCTACCATACCTGGCTAATTTTTTGATTTATTGTAGAGACGAAGTCTCACCAAGTTGCCCAGGCTGGTCTCAAACCCCTGGACTCAGGCAGTCCTCTCATCTTGGCATCCCAAATTGATGGGATTACAGGCATGAGCCACTGTGTCTGGCCGATACTGTCCTTTTTTTTTTCTCACCTAAGGAAAGCTTTTCTGACCCCAAAGAAAGCAGTGTGATCTATTCTGAAGGAGAATATTTACTTTGTGTATGAAAAATTGTGTTTTCATCAAATGTACTGTTTTCCCATCTTGTTATACTATACTCCCATTCAGTGTGTCTGTGTCATCTATCTTTCCTCTTAAATAGGGTATCAAGATAGCAAGTCAGATGCACTCTCCAAGTTGGCACAAGGACAAGAACCATGGATAATGGAAGATAAAATTCAGAGAAGAAACTGTCCAGGTGAGTGAGTGAGAGAGCAAGGGCAGTGGCTTCGGAAGTCATATTGTAGTCATGTGAAGCATCTGAGGATACCTGAGCAGCTGTTCCATATATTCATTTCCTATATGAGAACTTTATTTAATGGTGTTTAGCTTTAAATATACTTTTTTGAGCCAAGCATGATGGCTCTTGCCTGTAATCCCAGCACTTTGGAAGACAGAGGTGAGAGAGAAGATTGCCTGAGCCTAGGAGTTTAAGACCAGCCTGGGAAATTTGACCAGACCCTGTATCTACATTAAGTCCAAAGATTAGCCAGATGTGGCAATGTGCACCTGTTATTTCCAGCTACTTGGAAGGTTGAGGCAGAACGATTGCCTGAGCCCAGCAGGTTAAGACTTTGGTAGCCGTAAATGTCTACTCCAGCCTGGGTGAAAGAGTGAGACTCTGACACACACACACACACACACACACACACACACACACACACACACACACATCTTGTCTTTTCTTGGGACTAGTCCTTATTACATCTTCTTTTAATTTTATTTTATACTGGAGTCATACAGTTGACTATAAAGAACCAGGACCCTTGGCCAGGCATGATGGCTCAATCCTACAATCCCAGCACTTTAGGAACCCATGGGCTCGAGACCAGCCTGGGCAATATGGTGAGACCTCATCTCTACAATAAATCAAAAAATTAGTTGGGCTTGGTGACACATGCCTGTAGTTCTGGCTACTTGGAAGGCTGAGGCAGAAGAATCACCTGAGTCCAGCAGGTTGAGGCTGTGGTGGCCAGGAGCCTGTCACTACACTCCAGCCTGAGCGACAAAGTGAGACTCAAAAAAAAAAAAAGGACCAGGACCCAGCAAATCATCTTGTAAGCATTTTATTTCATACCATTCTCATGGAAGAATTTGTTATTCTGTTTTTTTCTTAGGAATCAGCAAAATTAACCATCATCTGCAAGAGCACTCTCCAAAGAAAACATTTCTTAAGAGCATGCAACAATTTAATGAACAGAATGCATTTAGAAATATTGTTCATCTGAGCAAAACACATTTTCCCCTAGTGCGAAATCATGATATATTTGACTTAAATATAAAAACTTTGAAATCAAGTTTAAGTTTAGTGAACCAAAAGAAAAAACAAGGACTAAATAACCCAATTGAGTTTAGTAAAGGGGAGAAAACACTTCAGCATGGTAAGCATGAACATATGTGTACTAAAATTAAATTGCCTGAGAGTACAAACTGCATTGCTACTAAATTCCAACTCTTTAAGCACCACGGAACCCAGAAAGCTGAGAAACCCCATTCATGCATTGAGTGTGAACAGACCCTCCTCGGGAAGTCTAAGCTCATTTACTATGAGAGTACTCATACAAACCATAATCCTGGAAGTGGTCAATATGAGAAATTATCCAGAAGTATCATGTTCACTCAACACTGGAAAACTCTTACAAAAGACAAAACTTATATAACTAGTGAATATAGAAAAGAGTCCACTGTGAAGGACAGTCTCATTGCACATCAGCAAACCCATACAGAAGAGAAATCCTATGTATGCAGTGAGTGTGGAAAGGGGTTTACAATGAAGCGCTATCTAATTGCTCATCAACGAACTCACAGTGGAGAAAAACCTTATGTATGCAATGAATGTGGAAAAGGTTTCACTGTGAAGAGCAATCTCATCGTACATCAGCGAACTCATACAGGGGAGAAACCCTATATATGCAGTGAATGTGGAAAAGGCTTCACCATGAAGCGCTATCTTGTTGTACATCAGCGAACTCATACTGGAGAGAAACCCTATATATGCAGTGAATGTGGAAAAGGCTTTACCGTGAAGAGCAATCTCATTGTCCATCAGAGATCGCATACAGGGGAAAAATCTTACATATGCGGTGAATGTGGTAAAGGCTTCACTGTCAAACGCACTCTCATTATCCACCAGCGAACTCACACAGGAGAGAAATCTTATATATGCAACGAATGTGGCAAAGGCTTCACTACAAAACGCACACTCATTATACATCAGCGAACTCATACCGGAGAAAAACCCTATGAATGCAATGAATGTGGTAAAGCCTTCAGCCAGAAAATATGCCTCATACAACATGAGAGATGTCATACAGGAAAGACTCCTTTTGTATGTGCTGAGTGTGGAAAATCCTATTCACACAAATATGGTCTTATCACCCACCAGAGAATTCACACAGGAGAAAAACCTTATGAGTGCAACGAATGTGGAAAAGCTTTCACCACAAAGTCAGTACTCAATGTACATCAAAGAACTCATACAGGAGAGAGACCTTATGGTTGCAGTGATTGTGAAAAAGCCTTTTCCCACTTATCCAACCTTGTTAAACATAAGAAAATGCACACAAGAGAAATAGGTAGACTCAGTCAAGTTGAAAATTCCATCAACAGAGAGTCACAGCTCATTACTTAAAAGTGAACTCATGCAGAACAAAACTACTAATGCAATAACTGGAAATGTCTTTTATGGAATCTCAGACTTCATAAAATATCAGTGTGTTTCTAGCAGATTGGAATGTAATCATGGAGATGAAAGTGGAAATAAAAGAATTTGCCCTAGAGCTAATCCTGGTGAATACAATTAGTAAGGTGGTGCTTTAGTGTTCCTCTACCTCATATTTTCTGTCAATGAAAACATTGGATAAACTTCAATGTGGAAATGCCTTGAGCAATAAATTCTGCTCATGTATATGAAAATTTTGTGCTGAAATGAATTCTGCAAATGCAGAGACTAGAAAAAGCCTTCTGTGGAAAGATAGACTTTATTATCAGGCAGGTTTCATCATAGATTATCAGTGAGCTCATTGTTGATAGAAATATGATGGTGATGACAAAGCCTTTACCCAGAAATAAGACCTCAATGAGTGTTAGAGTTTACACTGGAGAATATCTTTAGGATGATAGTATATATGGCAGGATTTCATATATACTGTGATCCTGCCACATCATTGGTCAAGAAATCTAGAGAGTAAAACTATCCTGAACATATTTAATGTGGAGCACCATTAGCAAAATGTCAGGAGCTCATGAAGGAGTGAAATCTCTTGTAAATGATGACTGTTTGAGTGCTTTCTGTGAGTTGTAACTGTATGATACATCAGCTAATATGAGATACCATGTGTGCATTTTCAAACACGATACCTGAAACCTCATTTTTACGAGTTGTCAATAATTCCATGTTATAGTCTGTTCCCATCATTGTTTGTTATTGTTATGTAAAACTGTGGTATAATAAATATATTTTGTTTTTGTCACTGGTTTCTGTCCCAGAGTCTCTAAAATTCTTGGGATTTCATGAATGATAGGAGTGTTTTTGTTATTTATAAAAAGTCCCTTTTTTATTACTCCTGAGTTTATACTAGTAAATGGAATGAGGGTGGTTTCCTAGGTAGCCTCAGGATGCGGCTATTCCCCAGGAAGACCAAGTAACTAGAGGGTGGAAACTTTCTACCTCATTTCCCACCTGGAAGAGAAGGGGTGTGCTGGAGATTGAACAGAACAATGAGATTAAGAAAATTCCAAATTGGCCACATATCTGTTGATAAAACAGCTATACTCTTAAATATTTAAACAGATTTGTTCTGAACCAAATATGAGTGGCTATAGCCTGGGGTACAATCTCAGGAGGTCCTGAGAGCACATGCCCAAGGTAGTTGGGATACAGCTTGGCTTTCTACATTTTATAGAGAAGTTATAGGCAGAGACATAATACGTGTAAAGTATACATTAGTTTGACCCAAAAAAGCAGGAGATCTTAAGGCAAGGAGCTTACAGGACATAGGTGGATTCAAAGATTTCCAATGGCAATTGTTTCAAAGAATTAAACTGTCTAAGGACTGTGAAGGCAGTAGAAAAATCCTTGAGTTTAGGTAAGGGGGGTTGTGGAAGCCAGAGTTCTTGATATGTGGATGAAGCTTCTAAATAGGTTTCAGAGAGACTAGGTAAAGGATTACAGGCATGTGCCACCAAACCCAGCTAATTACAATTTTTTTTAGAGATGAGTTCTTAGTATATTGCTCAGGTCTGTATCAAACATGGGTTTAAGCAATCCTCCCACCTAGCATCCCAAAGTGCTGAAGTTACAGGTGTGAGCCCCCATACTCAGCTTAATTGTATCCTTTGTGACAAACCAGATAAACTACACTTTTCCTGAGTTAAATGTCTCTTTTGGTGCCTTAAGGTGTGTCAGACTCAAATCTCTCCTGAGTCTGGGACTTAGGCAAGATGATTCTTTACAGATGCATGTTTCACCAAGAAATGGCTTTGCAGGGCCATTCCAAAATATGTCAGAGACATATTTTGGGATAAAATATTTGTAGTTCTTTTAGGGCCTGCTATCTGTTATATGATGTTACATCAGAGTCATAGTGGAATTTGACATCTTTTTGCCATGGAGTCTGTTTTGTCAGTCTGATAACCTCTACTTTAATGTTAATATTAGTCACTTGTGTTTAAACTTCAAAAGGGGGCCGAGCTCAGTGGCTCAGCCTGTAATTCCAGCACTTTGGGAGACCAAGGCGAGTGGATTGCCTGAGCCTGCCAGTTCGAGAGTCACCCTGGCAACTTGGTGAGATCTTGTCTCTACAATAAATCAAAAATTAGCCAGGCGTGGTAGCTATAGTTCTGGCTACTTGGAAGGCTGAGGCGGAAGGTGTTATGACCGGGTAAGCGAGAAGAAGTTACACCAGCAAGTTGAGTCTAATTAATTATGAATTTATTAAACGCGCAGGTCAAGAGTAGGCAAACACCTGAAAAACTCTTGGCAAATTGGTGCAGTTTGTGACAAGCTTTTATAGGTAAAATTTGTAGAATTGGCTACATAGCAACTTAGTGACCATAGCAACTATTAACTAATGACTTGGCAACCAAAATGGGAACTTTGATTGTTAGAGTGCTTTGATTAATTTTATGTCAGGTAGGTATAGCCAGTGCTCAGAAAGTCCCTGGAGTTCTGCCATTAAAATATAGTTTAAGGTAGTTACATAGAGACAAGGAAGAATTATTATACAATGGTGTTACCTTGGTTAGGTCACTAACAGAATATAAGAACAAACTAAGAAAATGTCAAAGCGTAACATTTGATTTCAGTTAACAAAGCATACAATCACATGGAAGCTATGGCAAAGGAGTTCTGTAATGGTCAGCAGGCAATGGTCAGCATAACCTGCCCAAAGGAGACAAAGCCGGGGGTCTGTGGTCATGGGAACCTTACTGTAATCACATGTAGGCACTGATTCTCAGGTCAGGCAGGTAACTAAGATGAAAGTTTTAAACAAAATGGAGTAAGCTGGTTATATTATTACTTTACTAGCAATTTGATTTTATTAATTGATTTAGCTTATTTCATTCCTCCCTTTTAGTTGTGCATGAGTCAATTCATTGACTCCTTAGTTAAAGGAAGGAAATTATTATAGGTTCTGGTATACAAAAGTTTTACTGAGTTGATTCAATTTCTTGACAAAGTTAACAAACCAGTTTATAATGTGAGGTACTAGATCTGGAAGAGTTACTTTAAACTGGATTGGGTTTGAGTCAGGGTTCCAATTTTGGACAGCTAAAACTTGTCCTAAAGTAAAGGAACTTAAAGTAAAAGCAGTATGATAAGCTGAACCCAAAGGGGTGCTTGCTAGAATAAACCAGGGTAAACTTATTTTAAGCATAATAAAGTAATAATACATCCAGTACATGAGAAATAAAACAGTGTTAACAGACCTTTCTTGCAGCATGGCCATTTTGCAGGAACTGTAGTAAGCAGTGCTGCTTCAAATCCTAGAACAAGTGGGATAACTAAAAGGAGAGGCAAGGGATGAGTGCAATGCATTTAGTTATGGTCAAAGTTTCACAGTTTCTGCTGCTGACTGGTCAGGTGATGTAGGACGATGGGCTCAGAGGGTGATTTTGAGAAGATTATCAGGATGTTGGTTCACAGTCCAGTTGTTGTTTGGGCGAAGGGGCACGTCAGTGTTCCAACTGCAGGTTTGGCTGAGCCAGGCTTCGGCGTTCACAGCTTCCTTGACTTGTGATTGATGAATCCAGGCTGGTATCCTGCTAACCTTGAGTGATGTTGGGGTGGTGAGGATGACTTTGTATGGTCCTTTCCAGGAGGGGCTCGGTTCTTTTTTTCTGGTACTTTCTGACATAGACCAGATTTCCAGGCTGTGATGGATGACACGGTGTGGAAGTTGGAGTTGGCAATACAGCACAGGTGTTGGTGTGGACAAGGTCCTGCACCTGCTGTAAAGACTGGAGATACTTTAACAGAGATTGATTAGTAAACTCTTTAAGAATAGGATCCTGCAAGCAGGGTAACAGAGGAGGAGGTCTTTTAAACATGAGTTTGTAGGGAGTAAATACAGCCTTATACAGGGTACATCTAGCTCAAAGGAGAGCTAGGGGTAAGAGAGTTACCCATTTTCACCGGTTTCTGTAATTAATTTAGATTAAGTATTTTTTATTTATTTATTTATTTTTATTTTTCATTTATTTATTTATTTTTGAGTTGGAGTCTCACTCAGTCACCCAGACTGGAGTGCAGTGGCCGCTCCCGGCCACCACAGCCTCGCCTGCTGGGCTCCAGCGATCCTTCTGCCTCAGCCTTCTGAGTAGCCGGAATTACAGGCATGTGCTACCACGCCTGGTTGATTTTTAAATTTATTTTAGAGATGAGGTCTCACTGCCCAGGTGGGTCTCGAACCCGCGGGCTCAGGCAATCCACTCACCTCAGCCTCCCAAAGGCGTGAGATTACAGGCTGAGCCACTGAGCCCGGCTAGATAAAGTATTTTTTAAAGTCCAGTCCATGCGTTTTATCTGTCGAGAGCTTTGTGGTTGGTAAGCACAATGCAGTTTTTATTTGATGTTCTGTGCTTTACCAACCAGCTGTACTATGGATGAGGTGAAGGCAGGACCATTGTCTGAGCCAGTAGAAAGAGGAAGCCTGTACCTAGGAATCATTTTATTTAATAAGTATTTTGTAACCATAAGGACAGTATTATTTTTTGTGGCAAACAATTTTACCCATCCCAAAAAAGTGTCTATTAACACCAGTAAATAATTGTATCCTGCATGTGGAGGTTTTATTTCAGTAAAGTTTATTTTTTATTGTTCACCAGGGCTTAATCTTTGTGCCCTGATTCCTGGAAGGAGTTTTGGCCCTTCCTTGGGATTGATGCGAGCACAAGCAGGACACATTAAAGTTGCTGCATTAGTTTGGTCTTTTAAGTTATTGATAATATAAAAATGGTTTAACTGTTCAGCCATTTTGGTTTCTCCTAGGTGGATGGTAAAGTGGAGTTATCATTAATTTTTCTGCAAGAACTTCAGGTAGAACAGTTCTGGAGTCTTTAACCCACCAGTCATCAAGTTTCTTGTAAGCTCTTGCCAGCTCTGCAGCCTCTTTTTCTTTATGTGTATATCTGTGCTGCTGTGGGAGAGAAGGGACTGGAAAAGTTTTAGCTGTTAAAATAGTTAGGTGTTCAATTAGGATTTCTGCTGCTTCCTGAGCTGTCTGGTCTGCCAGGTGGTTTCCAATTGCTTCTAGAGTGTCAGATTTTTGGTGACTTTTACAATGAATAACAGCTACCTCTTTAGGGAGCCAAACAGCTTCCAAGAGGGCTAATATTTTTTTAAATTATTTTTGACAGTTTTACCTGCTGTGGTGAGAAGGCCATGTTCTTTGTAGATCATGGCATGTATATGAAGTGTAGCAAATGTATACTGGCTGTCCGTGAAGATGTTTACTCATTTTTCTGCTCCCCAGCGCAGGGCCTGGGTTAGAGCAATTAACTCAGTCTTTTGAGTAGAAGTACCCTGAGGTAGTAATTGGGACCAGATTACATCATGAGCTGTAGTTAC